GGGGGCGACTTAGCCCCTAACACATTTGGGGTGAGGGTGCTCAGGCCTTACACATATTGGGAGCTCAAGGTACATAAGGCCACATGTTCGGGCGCTCCTGATTCCATGAGAATTGTAAGGATGTGTGTCTTTAATGTCATCAATTTATCGTCTCCGTTTTGCAATAATAATTCTTCTTCTTCTTCACGTTCACCAGCTGTACACTCTGGCGGAAAGTTCTGGTTGTTCGTCCACTACTGAACTGCAGTCCTGCTCCAGAACCTGAGTGTTGCGTGTGCATCAGTTTTACAAATCTCATTCTCTTGAATACAGACTTTTGGTTCCTTGCCTCTCCGGCAGATGCACTCCGACTTCAAAGGAAGCTCCCCAATTAGTCGACTCTTACGACATGCTTTTGGGTAGGCAGTGGGTCTTTTCTTGTTTTCCCCTACAATGGGACCCCGGAACCCACACGGGGAGCAATAATAATAAACTGCCAGCTCACCTAAGTACAGAGTGCGTAATCACCACAACCAGTGGCTAGAGAACAAGATGCATATCGTAGCGAGAAGCACGCCAAAGGACATGACTCTATATCCCTGACTAGACTGATGGACATGGGGGTGCAGCCTGGAGCTGCAAGAAATGAACATTTCACCAAGAGGACATGACGTTTCATTAACCAACACAGAACAGGCGTCATCAGTCGTTTTACACTTGTGGAGCTTTTGGGGAGGAGATCGGAACACCTATGGAACTGTCCGGAGTGCTGTGATGATAATCCTTTCTAATCACCAGTGCATACACATTTCGTAATTGTAACAGACTCTGAAAGCATGCTGAGCAAGGTAAAGACAGGGATGTTTCGAGCAGAGTGGCAAGCTTCACTGGAAAGGTCACGGGTAGTCAGCATATTTTGGATCTTTTCTCCAGCCAATGCCGGCGTAGTGGGTAATGAACAGACAGTCATATTGGCTGGATCATCACCACCGGGTGGGGAATCGATACATGACAGGGCAGATTTGGTCAAGGCCCTGTGGGAACAAGCAACGGAATCAGTAAATAAACAAGATTATTATGGCCTGGAGAGAATGAGTCACCTGTATGTAACCAGAGGGTCTGGCCGGCTCACTACACTCAGAGGAAAGGCAAGGCGGACATATAACCAGATTCCCCCGTGTGGGTTCCGGGGCCCCATTGTGGGGAAAACAAGAATAGACCCACTGCCTCCCCAAAAGCATGTCGTAAGAGTCGACTAATTGGGGAGCTTCCTTTGAAGTCGGAGTGCATCTGCCGGAGAGGCAAGGAACCAAAAGTCTGTATTCAAGAGAATGAGATTTGTAAAACTGATGCACACGCAACACTCAGGTTCTGGAGCAGGACTGCAGTTCATTAGTGGACGAGCAACCAGAACCTTCCGCCAGAGTTTACAGCTGGTGAACGCGAAGAAGAAGAAGAAGAATATAACCAGATTGTGACCGGTACCATCAGTATTAGAACTCTGTGCTGACCTCTGAAGATGAGGACGAAGCGTACAGGCGAATGACCCGAGTGCTGTGAGGTCAATTCTTGACTCAACTCAAATCACCACAACCGGCAATGTCCTTTATCATGCGCACCAATTTCCACACGCACCGTTCTACACTTTAACTGAAAGGAAATGAACGCTCACAAAACGCCAGACATCATCTATGGCTCCTAACTTATCAATCAAGTGTCGCATTTGTGAGTCTCTTGCTGGTCATTGGTCGATTTATATATATATATTTTATATGGACTTGGATGTCAGATAAGAATGTATGTATATTGTTAAAAGCTGACACGTTATAGTCGAGAAGATGGATTTAATTGCGCTGGGTTTTATCCCATATGGCCCATCCTCTGTCTGCAGAAAGGCCAGCCGCCTACCGAGATTATCACCCACGTAATCCCTAGGGATCTCCGCAAAAATGACCCCCGTAAACTGAGCGACGCAGTCGTGCGACGAACCCGCGGCGTCTAGAGTGCGAGTTAAACGGCTGGACTACTGGTCCCTGGATCCCTGGTGTCCGTTAACTGAATACACAAACAGACTAGACATTTTTGCGATGAAATAGACAAGATTTTGTTGTTATAATATTGTATACCAAACTCGGCCTAGATGATAAATTAAGAAAGGTGTTCAGAGGATTTTGTTGTGAAGTTGAGTATTTACAGAAATGACAACTTCAGTGGAACGTCGGTTCTCAAACTGTCATACTACTCCTTTTTGAAGCGGGCCTTCTGGTCTGGTACTTTATTCTTAATTCATCCCTAACAAAGTAAATACTGGTTTCCGGTAAATGTCCAATATTCTAGCAGTGTTTAGTGGTTGGGGTTAGTGTGAGAGGGTTAGTCAGTGTTTCTGAGGCGGTCGGGGCTGACAAAGATCCTAACTCCCCCCTAACCTGAAACCCAAGCCATAACACCCCTAGAATATTGGACCGACCCCCTGGAACTCCAAGATTTCTTTATTTAGGGTGAATTAAAAATAATTTACTGGCGTGTGAAAACTCTCTAGGGATTAAGTGGTCAGTGCAACAGAAGAGAGGATCCGCGAAAGACTTCTTCAGCAGAGAGTAAGCAGAGAGGGTAAACGGTTTTCAGTGTGCCGAGGAAAAGAGAAACTTTTAATGAGGTTACAACTAGCAGCACCATCAGTATTTGAATTCCTAATTTGCTACTAAGGAAAGGGACAATTCATGTATGGGAATTCTCCAAGTTGAATGATATCAATTCCTGAGTCATTAATTCACCCAAACTATCATCTTCATGAGGATGGTGTTGCATAGCTTTCTTCCCCCTTTCCAGGCTCAGAAATCAGTAAAATCTGCAAGCCTTTACTGGAACAAAATCTCCAAGAAAATATATATGAGTACATCAGTTGCCCTTCTTATTTTCAAAGGTTTGAAATGGAACACATACTTTTTAATAACAGTATGTATTATAATTTGTAAATAAAAGAATTTAAAAAAAAATGGTCTGTATTCTCAAATTTAGTTTTTTTTTCCTTTCATATATCACAAATTTTAAAATTCATATGTTAAAATTGTTCGCAGACACCCCCTCCCGGGCAAAATGAAAAGTTGTAAGGATAAGTAGGTAATGATTGAGTAGGGCACATATAACTATAGGCTGAGATTAAACCTAGACAGGTGATGTTTCCTAAATGAATCCCCTGAGGTATTTGACCGTCATGGCTGTAGTGATAAGTTCACAAGCAAATCACTCATCTCCTCGACAGACCTACTATTAATTAGTTAGTAATCAACAGATTATCCTCACTGCAGATCGGACAAGTACATAAGCGCTCAGATCCCATCTTCAAAAAGTTTTCAGGTTGCATTTCCTCTTCCTTGGATAAGGCTAGTATCCTCCCCAATGCGCTCCTCCGGCCGAAGCCGTTGGCACAATATATGATGTTGGGTTAGTATACGCCGCCCAACATTCCAGTTGTTCCAGTAGCAGTATGATTATATATGTGTCTTGATATATTCTATTTTTTGCTTATGGATTTATTTCTGCATGTAAGGTGACTAGGGTTTTGCTAACAAGATTGGCATCAGACAGGGCACCACAGAGAGCAGTGTTATACAGATACAGCGGTAACAGAGCCAGAGGTCGACCACGCAGAAAATAGACCTCTGAATTATCAGACACCGAAAAGTATTTTAAACGAAGCGAAGAGAAGTGCCGGTGTCAGAGATCTCTTCCTGCCCTGATTCTGCGAGGCATTCCAGGAGTAGAGAAAACAAGAAGAAGGGTTTTGCTAAATCTACCTGCAGACCACAACACAACCTACCAACTTCCATTCTGAGGGTAAACACAGAAGAAGAAGAAGATAAAGAATAGGAAGAAGAAGACTTTCCTCAAAATGAACCAATTTTAACTCATTCTCTTCCTAACAACCAGTGTCTACAGATAGAGTGCGATGATCATGCCACACAGCAGAATGCACAGGTGCCGTAGGTGAACTGTGCTGTCAACAAAATGGATGAACAAAGCCCGGTGCCTAAACTCATACAGGTTTCTGGTTAGCAATATCAACTTTGCATTTTTACATTTGCTTTGTAGGTGTAAGTAAAAGTGAGTAAAGAACCCTTATCCACACCTTCAGGAATATAGGGCTAGGCCTCTTGTGTAGACCAGTCGGCACTTGGTGGGTGATGTGGTCAGTATCAACCCGTCCGTCTTTACTTCCCAAGACTTCCTGGTGTCTACTCAAGATTGGGTCGACCTGGAAGTTAAGGTCACTTTTGAAAAAGTCCATTTCCATCATCAGTGTTTAGTATGTTTAGAAATAATTCCTATAGGTTATTTACACAGATGCATTTGTACCTCTCTCTCTCTCTCTCTCTCTCTCTCTCTCTCTCTCCCTCCCTGTCTTTCTCTCTCTCTCTCTCTCTCTCTCTCTCTCTCTCTCTCTCTCTCTCTCTCTCTCTCTCTCTCTCTCTCTCTCTCTCTCTCTCATGAGAGTTTCCATTGCAGAATGGTGAAATGGGTTTGCCTCATACTCTAGAAGTTATGAATTAGGAATTATATTGCAAGTTTGCGAGTTTGCAAGTACAGGTATTTTACAGATCCCTGGGGATCATTCCTGAAGCCGTGGAGTTCATGCTTTGTCCAGTGCTCTTGCAGATAACACGAGACACTAAGCTATATGCTGTTACAGTGAATTAATTCCTCTCATATATAAAAATTTTTGTCTGTTTAGATGCACACTTCATTTTATATATATTTATATATATTTATATATATATCGTTGTGTGTGTATATATATTGATAATAAACTAAATGCCAGTTTGCACAGTACAGTAAATCATGTTTCCAGTTAACATGCACACAAGATGGTGTAAGTCTGCATGACAAGTATAAATCAGAGTTAGCTTTGTCCCTCTTGGACAACCCTGTTTTATTCTCCAGGTATTCATTAAATTATTACAAATGAAACCTCTCTGCGACTCTGGCTGAGTTCTGAAACTGCAGAGGAAAGGCTCCCAGCAATGGATCTAGATCTTGTTCTGGGCATGTCCTGCAGGAACATCAGCTGCCTGGCCTGTGACCAGAACAGTTCCCTGGCAGCACATACAGCGTCTGGAGTTTTAGTCTTACTGGATACAGCTACAAACTGGTTAGTTTTAGTTTTACTGGATGTAGCCACAAACTGGTGAGTTTTAGTCTTACTGGATACAGCTACAAACTGGTGAGTTTTAGTCTTACTGGATACAGCTACAAACTGGTGAGTTTTAGTCTTACTGGATGCAGCCAAAAACTGGTGAGTTTTAGTCTTACTGGATACAGCTACAAATTGGTGAGTTTTAGTCTTACTGGATACAGCCACAAACTGGTGAGTTTTAGTCTTACTGGACACAGCTACACATTGGTGAGTTTTAGTATTACTGGACACAGCTACACATTGGTGAGTTTTAGTCTTACTGGACACAGCCACAAACTAGTAAGTTTTAGTCTTACTGGACACAGCCACACACTGGTGAGTTTTTTGTCTTACTGGACACTGCCACAGACTAGTGAGTTTTAGTCTTACTGGACACGAGCACAACTGGTGAGTTTTAGTCTTACTGGACACAGCTAATAAATGGTGAATTTTCACAGTGACTCAGCAGTTTTGCCAGCATTAGCTACATTTTGTAGCCAATGGGTATTTTCATGGTTACTGTTTGTACGCTACCAATACATGAATAAAAACACTGTAAAAACAGATTTCCTAACTGTTTAAGAAGACTTATTTTAACTTTTAAGTCTGATGTAATGGCTAAAGATATTGCTTGATAAATGAAGAGATTTAAAAGACTTTTGGAATAGTACCATCATTAAAATTGTTGCGAAACAAAGACTGAAATGGTTTGGCCACCTAGTGAGAATGGATCCAATAATGCCGGCAGTGAGTTCATACAACATTAAATTTGTTTCTACCCTGTTCTTTTTCCATCAACTGATGTCATATGTTGCACATATTACATTACATCTGTCTTCTCTTTTTCCTCCTCCTTCATTTGCCCCGTAAAGTTTAGTTGGCATAGTATATTGTAGTTTACAGCTAAGCTGCAATATCTTATTTTGGCCATTTTCTCGTTTGTCCAGCCAGGTCAGATACCTCCACCTGCGCCAGAATGCTGTCTCAACGGTCAGTTTTTCTCCAGATGGGAAGTTGATTGTGACTGGAGAGATCGGCTACAGACCTGCTGTACGAGTGTGGAGGGTCAAGGTCAGTATTCAAAGCTATTGTGATCTCATTGCCAGGTTAGCTCAGTGTAAACCAGCCATTATGTCACCAGTTGCCCTGTTTTTTTTTTTTCTTCAAATTTTAGGAATTAGCGCAAGAATTGAACATACACGTACAGCTATATCCGTAAAATCTTTTAGATTTCATAGTATTAAATACTTTTAATGCCTGAAATGTGTTGATGATGAGACACAATATTGCCGGCTGCTGACAGCAAGGAGTAAAATACGACTCAGTTACGCCTGAAACTCCTGCGACATAGTAGAAGTGCTACGCCAGATCTAGGCGTCAGTGGAAGGGAGGTCACTTTCATTGTTTGGTCTCTTATCCCAACATGTACCATAAACTGTTTTATGTATGAAATAGACAGACACTAGCAGTTAAATTGTTTTTGTATCGTATGGAACAGACAGACAGTGCAGTGGCTGTAAACTGTTCTTTTGCAAATGCCAAGTCCTCATGTGGGTTCCAGGGCCACATTTTGGCAGAAAAAGAATAGACCACTATGAAGAATTTCATACCAATACATTAATCTTAAGAATTAAAACTCTTTGACGCTGACTTTAAACTATTTTCATCTGGCAGGATGGACAGGAAATTGTTGCCTTATATGGGCATGAGTTTGGAATTAAGTCTGTACTCTTCTGCTCCAACATGACACAGATTGTCTCTGTGGGGCTAGAACACGACAACGTTGTTAACTTATGGGCATGGCCAGAGAAACACAGATTAGCAACAAATAAAATAGTTGGTGAGGATAGTTGTTAATAACATTGCAACTTGGCATATGAAACATGTGAATGTCCAATGATTCGGATATTACTTTAATTTATGTTGCCTGAATTGTTAGTTTAGTTCCTTCTGTTGTATAGTTTTAATTCTTCTGACTCAGACCTCATCTTTTTTTAAAAATTAGACAGTCTCAAGTTAAAGAGAATTCAAGTAATTACTGCCTAGTGTTGAAGGCAACAGCAGCTTTTAAAAGTCTGAACAAAATACGGAACTCTAAATTATATAGTTTTAAAACCAGCGTTTTGATTTTTAATTTTAGTATGTTATAACCAGTGAAAGTTGGAGAATCACTAACGACATGGAGCGAAAGTTAAATTCATTCAAAAACAAATGCCAATGGAAACTGATGAACATTAAATGGGATGAGTTTATTAAAGAAAGATGAAGAAATGTCTGGACGACCACTGGTATTAACAGTTATGAGACAAAGAAGGTGTCACTAGACTGGGCACATACTGAGAAGAAGCAAGTAAAGAAATGCCAAACCATCAGTGAATGGGACACAGATGGATTGAGAAAACAGAGGGCATCCAAGAAAAACTCAAGACAACCTTTAAGAGAGAGGCCAAAGGTACTGGACTAGATTCCATCCACGATATTGAAAGAATTGCACAGGACAAACTCGATGGAAACCTCAGCAGCCTCGGGATGACAGAAGATTTCTTTAAATGTATTTGTACTGACGTCTGAAGGTAAAAGAAGAAGAAAACTCAAAGATTCTTGGAGCTGATAGTCCCTAGAGATGCAGATTTCATATGACACAGGTCACTAATAAATTTTTCTTTTAAAGATATCTTCATTTTTTAAAAATTGTTTCAAAAAATTTATAAGGAACAGAATAAAGCATTAAAAGAAATACATTCCCTGGGTCATGAAAAATAACTAATTTGTATGAGGTGTCTCATATCATGAGACCAGACAAAATTCTTTTTTGTAGTTACTATATTCATATCCTGGCCTGTTTAACACTGCAGGTGCACATAGAACCATTGGAATTTAACTATGTTTTTTTTTTTAAAGAACAGGTCACTGCAGACATGACTATATATGAGCTTAAATAGGACTGTGTCACAATAGGAAGTGATAAGATTTAGTCTTCTTGATGCAACAGGGCTCACTAATTCTTCTTTCTTCTTCTTTGTTCACTGGCTGTAAGCTGGGGTGGAAGTCCTGGTTGTTCGTCCATTTGGCCTTTGGTTTTATGCCAGGGCCTGAGTTTTGCATGCAAGTCCATTTTACAAACTTATTTGTGTGCAGTTGGTTGTTCCTTGCCGCTCGGGCAGATGCACTCCGACTTCGAAGGAAGCTCCCAGTTAGTCAGCTTCTGCAACATGCTTGTTGAGAAGGCAGTGAGTCTGTTCATGTTTCCCCCCATAATGGGGCCCCGAAACCCTCACGGGATGGCTCATTCATTTAATACCAAGCAACACACAATGCATTCTACAAACATAAATTCTTCTTAACTCCTTATGCCACATTTATTTGTTACACTAACACAGAAGCTTCTCTAACTCCTGCTTCTTCTTTTGCATTCTACCTTAAATATGTGATTGGCACATTGTTTTGCTGACCTACATAATAAAGTAAAACGAGTTGGATAATATCTACCTTTGACTTCTTCTTCTTCTTTTGTCAAAATCTGCTTGTGCCGCTAGGCGTCGCAGTCTATCAGATGATCGGCAACCGAGCCAGGGCGCGCTCAGTCGCTTCATATGCCGTGATGTTATGAAGTCTCAAGTTGTCCGTGACTCCTTCAATCCATCTTCTTCTTGGTCTTCCCCTGCCTCTTGTTGTTTCGATTTTCATGTTGTATGCTCTTGATGCTGGCATCGTTGGTTCCATTCTCATTAGGTGACCAAACCATTTCATTCTTTGCTTCTCAATAAATTTAACGATGGGTATGGTTCCAATAGTTCTTGTAATCACATCGTTTCTCACTCGATCTCTTCTGGTTTTATTCGCAGCCATTCTCAAACATCTCATTTCACAGGTGGTTAGTCTTCTCTCGTGTTCTTTTGTTAATGTCCAAGTCTGACTAAAAGAGTTAAATAGTATGTTAAATTTATCTAAAAATATGGGGTTCCATTACTGGTTTTGTATACTCTTGTAGTATCTGAGCTTGAAGATCTCTATAACACAGTCCCTATAGAAAGTAATTTAGTGTAGGACCTCAGGTTTGATGTCTCTACAACAGCTTCAATCTGATAAATGCAAGCACTTTACCTCATCACCAACACACATCAGACTTAAAAATTAAACCTCAGTCTCTCAAAAACCCCATCAGTCAACCAAAAAACCCATTATTACATTGCTTTAGGGGTTTTCTCTCTCTCTCTCTTTCTCTCTCTCTCTCTCTCTCTCTCTCTCACACACACACACACACACACACACACACACACACACGCACGCACGCACGGGCGCACACACACTTAAAAAAGAAAAGGTCTTGTCAACAAACCATCAAACCGGTTTTCAAATTCTTACAAATTTAACTTCAAGAGTTGTCCACTATCTCTCTGCCTCCTTGTTGCTCTGTTTCATCTCTCTGATTCTCTGTCTCTATCTGTCTGTCTGTCTGTCTCTGTTTTTGTGTGTTGATCTTTCTCTTTCTGGGTATATCTTTTTCTCCCTTTCACACACACTCACACACACACAGACCAGACATTTATTTGAATGCAAAAAAACTGATCCACTAACTTGCCTCATGTGAGGGCTGCACTAGACATCATCAAGGCAGTCGCTTACTCTGAAACTGGTGGCTACTTCGTGACTGCCGGCATACGCCACATCAAATTCTGGTATCCGAACCTTTCTCTGCCCATCAGCTCCACTGCAGTGATACCTCCCGGTAAGTGCTCATGTATTTCCTAAGCTCTCATGTATTTCCTAAGCTCTCTGACCATGGTACTGTAGGTGGGGATCAGAATCACATATTTCCTAGCTCACTGACACTCAAAGTATCCATTGTATGGCTACAGCACTATCATAAACATCATCAGCATTCATAGTATCATGTGTTGTTTATTAGCATGTTTCCAAACGATAATGTTCCATTGTGCCTTAGGGAGGCATGAGAATCATGTATTTCCTGGCTCATTGTCCCTGAAAGTATCCGTTGTATGGCTACAGCAGTATCATGAACATAATCAGCTGTCATAGTATCAATATTATTAGTTAGCACCTTTCTAGACGATGGTGTTCCATTGTACTATAGGTAGGCACCAGAATCACATATTTCCTAGCTCACTGACCCTGAAAGTATACACTGTATGGCTACAGCAATATCATAAACACAATTAGCATTCATTGTATCTGTGTTTTTTGTTAGCACATTTCCAGATGATAGTGTTCCATTGAGAGTGCTATAAGGATTCATGGGAATCATATTTCTGGGTCACTATCTCTAAAAGAAATTGTTGTACGGCTGCAGCAATATCATAAACATCATCAGCATTCATAGTATTAGTGTTGTTTATCAGCATGTTTCCATATTTCGAACTGATAAAGTTCCATTGTGCTATAGACAGACATGAAAATCAGAGTCCATGGTGATACCATTGAAGTCCATGGATGAAACTCCTCCTCTCCATAGCACAGTCTGGGCAATATTGTACAGACTGTGTGTTGTGTTACCCTGGCAGCAAGATCCTTCTCTCTCTTCCCTGCTTTGTTAACTGCGAAGGAAAAGTAATGTCAGTATGTTCATAGTATCAGCTGTATTAAGATCATACCCTGTACTCAACAGTCATGGGGTAATCTTTTTCTTCTTCTTTTTTGCATTCACTGACAGAAAACTCTGGCAGAAAGCTCTGATTTTTCATCCACTGAGTTTTGCATGCACATCTGTTTTACAGACCTGGCTAAGTTGTATGCAGAGTGTTGGTTCCTCACCTCTCAGGAAGATGCACTCCGACTTCAAAGGAAAAATCCCTAATTAGTTGACTCTTAGGACATGCTTGTTAGGGGGGCAGTGGGTATGTTCTTGTTCTCCCCACATTGGTGCCCTGGAATCCACACGGGGAATGAGATAATCAAAGCAGTGTTTCCCTGTTGTAAATTTGAACAAAGAAGATGCAAACAACAGATTGCACAGTTGAATGTCTGGCTTATTTTGCTGATCTTTATGCATAATTCCTCTACAGTAAACCTAATCTTAGTACAGTGCATGTGCGTCTACTCATTACACACCA